TATACACCGATTTTGCCCTCCGTAAATCAGAATTCCAGTTGGAGAAGTCATCATACCGTTCGCAAAAAAAACAGCGAGTGAAAGACACGTATGATGTGCTGTTCACATGCTCAATTCTCTCTTATGCCAAAATCTGTCCTACTGTCAAGCTTCTCCCATGGTTTTACCAGAACTGACCGTATTTGGGCGCATTGATTGAATAATTATTTGTCATGAGAGATACAAAATAGTCATATTTCCTTAGCAAGCATGGGAAGTTTATAAACTTTATGCAATCATTTCAGCCATATTCGTGCAATTTTGCACCCTTTTACTATGTATGACCGCATCAATGTATGTCCTTTAAATTTTGCTCGTAGACTGTTGCCCACTCTACACTTCAGAGAAGTTGCAAAATTGTACGGCTTTCAAGTCATCACAAACGGTTACAATTCCTACCTTACTCCTCTTAGCATATCCTCATTCCTAAGACCGCTTATTGTTAGTAGGCATCAATTTGGTAGAATTTCAAGACATTGGGAATAGCATAACCTCAATACCCATTGAAGAGTTGATGCCTTCCAAAATGTCTCCTAATTTCATAGTTTTAAGGGTTGTACCGTCTTTTCCACAATGCATGAGCTTATATGGCACGTTTTGTTGTTCCAAAGAGAAAAAAATGAAGAGGTGAAAAGAGGAGGTGTTTTTGTCCTCCCGCGAATCGCACATAGGGCAGTATTTTGTTTAAACATATGACCTCGAAATTCGCAAGAGTGAGGAAGGAGTCTTCTTAGCTAATCAGATCGACTTTTAGACATGACCACCACCTACGCTGTTCAGTCATTTGACAACCTTGACGCCATTCAAGCTGACGTACTGAGTCCCTATCGATTTGAAAAGGTAGCAGGGGGTCAGCCTGCTGGAATTCTCATGCAGGCACCGTCTTCCAGCCTTTTAACGATGGACCCTCGAGCAGCACAGCCTGGAACCAGCGAGGAGTTTGGCGATGCTTCCGAATCTTCGTTGGCGCAAAAGGAGAAGATCTTTTTTGTGGAAAATGCATCGCGGAAGATGAGTTCAACCACATACTCTCTGGCTGGAAAGACTCCGGTAATCTGCAGTTCAGTGGGAACTCTCACCAACGCCGTCTCACGTAAGTGGAACTTCACGTCAGTCATGTTAACGGGAATGGCGAAGCGACTACCACCCCTGTCATATGTGGCCACAGTGAGCTGAGTTTGAGGGGAGGTAGGATCTCATACCCAGGGCCTCTCTGTTTTTATTTATTTTTTTTTTCATCTCTGGTTTTCTATACAATGAACTTTGGTCTCATGATGGACGTGTGGCGGTGTCTAAACTGCACAGTTTTGCTAAACATGCCAATGATAAGGAAATAACAAGGAGTATTATTTAGGTTAAAAATTAGTAACTCCCATCACAACTTTGGGCGCTGACTTCCCACTACATGTGTTGGAATAGACGGGTCTTAAAAATGCTTTAACCTGAGTGTGC